TAGTTTTAGTCTGATACATTATCTAAGAGAATTATCGAGTTTAAACTTCAGTTGAATATTTTACATGAGACTTCCTATCGAAAGCATTGTAATAGAATAGGACATATGAAGCTCATTTAAGTAATAAATTTGAATATATAAAAAAAAATTAATAGCGATAGCAATAACAATAATATAATATAATAAATTTATAAACTTATTTATAAATTTTATTGTTTATATATCTATATAGATATAATCTAAAATTTTGGAAGAATAACAAAAAATTGGATGTTTGTACCAAAATAGAGCTATATGCTTATGGGGTATCGTGGTTTAAATTTGTAATGTTTATATTTTTATACTAATTACATAAAATCTAAATCAAAAATTAAAAATATGCTTTTGTTTTTCCTAACTATATTTTCACAAAAACTATGTGAAAAAGAACTTTTAGATAATCCCTTAAACATCAATCACTTAGAACTTGTTTTTTAAAATGTAATAAAAAATAATCAAATTGTTTAAAAAAAAAAAAATTAAATATATTACTTACCATTTGCATCAGTATTGCCACTCTTGAATTCATCATCATAGATTGACTGAGATTTGTTAAGAGTTTTCTTTACAAACAAATCATTAATTTGAGATGTGCTAATGTTTTCAACATCTTTCTCATCACGTGCATTACATTTGGTTTGCTCTTTAGCAGATAAAACTTCTCCATAAGAAGAATCCACTGAACCAACTGAACTATGAGTAGTTGCTCTTTTGTTTTTACTATGCATAGATGGTGAAAAGGACTTAGTGTTGTCCTCTTCGCTAAGACCTGCGGGAGCTTTATTTAAAGTCGGTATTGGAGGTGAAACCAAACATAGTGGCGAAAGATCTGCTAAATCTTCAACATATTCAGTTTTAGATTGTTTATCTTCGTTTATATTATCAATATTATTAGGTTTGTATTGTTTTTGCAATGTAGGGATTGGTGGCGATGTTGAACAAGGTAAAGAATATTCAGAGAACATTTTTAAATCTTCCTGTAATTTGGTTGTAATAGTTGGTATGGGGGGTGAAGCTCTAAGCTCTGATGAAGAGACAACATTAATTTCTATTGCATTTACCAAATCTGCAATATATTCAGTCTTAGATTGTTTATCTTCGCTTACAATATCAATATTATTAGGTTTGTATTGTTTTTGCAATGTAGGTATTGGTGGCGATTTTGAAGTAGGTGAAGAACATTCTGAGAACATTTTTAAATCATCTTCCTGCAAATTTGTTTTAATAGTTGTTATGGGGGGTGAAGCGCTACGCTTTGATGAAGAGAGCTGATTTTCTGATAATACATCTTCATCCATTTTTTGACGTTCAGCCATTGTTATTACATTTGGTATATTTAAACATTTAGGTTGAATATTTCCTATTAATTCCTCTTCCTTTTGACGCTTTTCCATAGTAACTACAGGTGAAAAGAGCTGATAAAATGGAGAATTGTAATCCGGTTCACCGATATTTGGTTGACTTTGAGGAATTGGTGTTAGTGGTGTTTTCGAACATTCTCTTTCAAGACCGTTTGTGGCGAATAGGTTATTGTGCTCACCTGTTAGTGGTGTAGATGCTTTCTCAGATTCGCCTGTTTTCAAATTTAATTTTTCTTTTGGCGTTAGATATAACAAAGCCGAATTTTCGTGCAAAGACTTCATGCTAACATCAACATCCATGTCTTCCATAGTATTACTTTCTTCAGTGCTGTCATTAGCATTTACGAAATTATTTTTAACAGACTTGTCTATAATTGTTGTTAGATCAGTCTGTGGTGTAATGTCATTTTCATGTGAATCTGAAACAGACTCATTCGTATCTAATGAGCTGACAGTGAATGTTCTTTTTGCAGTTGTAATAGGTAATGTTTGATTATTATTAAATATACTGTTTAATGCAACATCATTACTATTAAGACCTAAAGGTGAATCCAAAGTATTCAAACCATTGTTTTCATTCACTAGATTTAACTGTGGACTATTAGATCTAAAATCAGAAATAAATTTATTTGAATCATTTAATTTTTTTGCATAGTCCGATTTTTCTAAATATATTATTCCCTTATTTGCAGATGTGGGTGACTGTGGAAAACGGTAAGGTTCATTGATATCATTGATATTGGAAATCGGAAAAGCGGGCGAAGACGGTGCAGAACTTCTTGCACTACAAAATGATGATGACATATCTAAAGTTAAGTTTAAAGTTGGTCTTATAACTGGTTGAGCTACTATGCCACTTGAACTGGCACCGGAAAATTCTGGTACACTTTCCTGTGTTAAACTGCTGTTTAATTTCCGTGGCATTTCAATACTTTTGTTCAACGATTTTTCTAAATTCTCCTGCTCCACATCAAAATAATTATTAACCGATATATCAGTATTGGTGAAGTTTAAATCAATATCCATAGGTTCGCTCGGATTTACTTCTAAATTATTTGTCACATTTAGTTGCCAGGATTCTTTTGCGTGTGGTTCATATGCTGACCTATTAAATGCGCTTTCGATTTCATCCAGTGTATTTTTAGTGAATTCATCACCTAAAAGTTCGGCAGCAGCCAATTTTTTTAACTTTTGAAATTCCGCCTCTATGGCTTCGCATTCATTGTATGCTTCACTATCAGATGAATTTATTTCATCCTTTAGTAGATTTTCTTTTAATGGAAAACTGTTTTTAATATCAACGTTTTCTGAAAAGAAAAAAAAAATAAATAAATACTACATTTGAAATATATAGTTGAAATATAATATTTACCAGTTGTGTTTAGTACTGTTAAAGTGGGTATGAAACCGTCTTCAAATGTTGTTTTTAAATGTTCTGAAATAAGAAACATGTATATTTGTAATTATGTGAATAAAATAAAATTTAAGTAGTGGGTATTATTCATTTTACACCCAAATTTGTGTTAAAGAATATGCTTAATAATAAGAGTATTAAACTGAAAAAATTAGGATTGGATTTTTTAAAAGTCACGAATTGTGTACCAAACGGTTAACTACATAATGAAATGGGATTTGAATACAACTGGGTACTTATAATTACATAGAACAATTGTTTGATGTTTTTATAGAACAACTTTGTTTCACTTTAAATCACAGGTGACCTTTAATTTAAATATATAATCTGAATGTTTGATTTAATTTTATTTAGAAAAACCGGAACCGATTTCGAATAAGAGAAGATATGGTTGCAGTTCTTCCCACAATAGGGGTAGTTTTTAAAAAAAATTACTTTCTTAATGAAACTCAATGAAATCCAGTTTGGAAGTAAAAATTAACCTTTTTTGTGACTAGTTCAGCTACAAGCTCTACAGGTCCCAAGAGGATCTATATAGCATAAAATCTGAATGGCTTACAAAACAAATATATTGGCTAGGATAAAGTTTTAGTGTAATTGGTTAAGGGAAGAATAAAAGTGTACAGGACAAATCGATATAAGTTTTAAAGTTGCAACTACATAAAACATGGATGAAATTAATTTTTTTAAAAATTTGGTGTATGGAATATACAGGTAATAATTTTTACTTCTGGATCTGTGATAGAAGGATGTGTTAAAACGGAGGTGGGCCTATTGCTTAGAAATCGATAGTTATGTCTTATGAATACTGTCGAGTGAAATAACTAATTTTGTTGTATATTTCTGGAGTTGCATGACACAAATTGTCGTTTATAGTTGGGCTCTAGTCATGGTTTTGGACAACGTTAGTATATGTTAACTATGCAATGGAACTAGATTATCTGTCAGAAAACTGATGACAGATGTTATTGAAGCAACCATTCTAAATGGAAAAAGATGATGTTTTGATACTACGTATCCAGTTTTTTTCTAATATTTCTAACCGATGTCTTAAAGTATATTATTGTTTGACAAAAGTCAAAATTTAAGTACAATCTTTTATAAATTTTCAATTGAAACTATTTAATTTTTGTGTGGCGTTCTAACACGCGCAGGGTAAAGTTAGTAAACTAATAAATTATTAATATTTAGTAGTAGTATTTACCTTCAATATTTGGATTAAGACAGTCTGGCAATTCCGGTATTTCAGATTCATCGAATTCAGTCAAACCTTAAATATATAAACGTATTAATAAAAAAGTAATTAAATTATTGAAATTCAGTTTAAATTTACCAATGAATTTGTGTGACGATTTGTTGGTTCCACCAATAGGTCTAGTGGATGACGTTGGTGAATCACTTATTTTTTGTCCAGTTGGCGGAGAAAATAGTGAATTAGCTTCATAACCAGCTGAACCGGCAGTTGGTGAAGGCGATGCATTAGGCGTAGGTCCAGTGACTTTTATCTGAGGCTGAGAAGACGGAACAGATAACTTTGTCTCTGCCATTGTTGCTGCTTTATTGCTTATTTGACTGAGCTAAAAATGAAGGAAGAAATTACATATAGATAATATTAAAATTGTATAATTTTTTTTATAATTGTGCAAGAAATTTATTTACTATTTTGGTCAAATTATACTGCTGCACTAACCTTCGGTAGAAGCATTATAAAAAATTTAAGCTACAAGTCTGTTCAGCTCTTTGGCAACATAATAAATTGCATTCAAATTTGTAAGCAGAAAGAGGAAAGATTTTCAATTGAACATGAACATGAAATTCTCTGCAAGTATTTTTATAACATATATTTTTATATAAACTATGAAAACTTGCAAATAAAGCGAAGTTATCATGCATATTTTCTCTAATTTAATTTGCTTTATTTTTTTATTTTTCATACATGAAAATATATGTAATCAAAGGCGTACTTTTCAGCGCCGCCTTATAATGAAATTTCTTGCCTGCCACATTTTTATAATTAATTTAAGATTCCACGCGCTTTATAAACAATTTCATTTTATACTATATTTGTACTCTTCATTCGGAATATTAAGACATATGCATCTATTAGAGATGATATTATCGGTGAGAGATGATATAAATGCATTTAAACAATTAAAAATTCACAACAATTTTGTAATAGCAGGGTCGGAATTTTTATTAACCTAGTTATTTATACGAAGCTGTTCGGAGAGCTATCTATTCGCCATTTCGCCGACATTTTAATATTTCATCCTTAATTAAAACATTTTTAAACATTTAAAACATTTAAAGTTTACAATATTTTTTAATAATGAAAATAGCTGAACATCGTACAATAATTTATTCTTTGTAAAAATGTATTAGGTGAATCAGCTTCTGCAATAAAGAATGGTTTGCAAGTAGATTGTTTACATGAATAACGTTCAAATACTACATCAGCACCAGGAGTCGTCGCAAAAAATAGAAGATATAAAGGGACTTTTTAAAAGATCTAGAGTTTTTTTTCTAGACACAATAAACAAGCAATATGTTATTTGAAATTTTGAGTTTGACAATGCAACATCTGAACCGATTCAGAAAGATTTTTATGCATTGTTTTTTATAATGACTTTAAAGTGCCTAAAGATTGATGTGAACGCAGGTATTACAGTCAATATAATGGGATAAAAAAGGAATGTTGTTGCTAAATTTAGGTTAATAAATTTTGATCAATAAAAGATTGATAAATTTAGATTGTGTTGTTTATAAGCGAACGAATGCATTTTTATTTCTGTGTTGTAGAAAAGATGTTATATGTGATGGAGTTCAAACGTGATAATGTGATGGCTTTATAATTAATTTGGAAAAACACAAGTGCTTCGAGTCCTCAAACACCTAAATGAGAACAAATCATTTGTGTTTCACATACCGTGATACTAGTAGCGTTGCTCGATGCCCAGGAAGTGGACAAAAAAAAAACAGTAACAAGACCGGAAATGATTCGTAAAGCGAAGAAGCGAGAAAGGATGCAACACGTTTTAAAAAATAAGCTCGGACTAAGGCCATTGAATTTGAACGTACATGACCTTACCGATGAACAAAAAAAAAGTTAGAGCCAAAAACAACGTTCCACGCCTTATCATCAATACAGTGGTTATCGTGTACACCAGAAATAAACCCTTTAGATTTCTCGGTATGAAGCAGTTTATAAAGTAAGGTTCGCACTAAAAAATACCAAAATGTTGATCGTCTGAAGCAAGCGTTAAGAATGTGCCAAAATACTGTAAATTTGCAGGCAGCGTGCGATAGCTTCAATAGCCTTTCGAAGGCCATAATTCACGCTAGAGGTGGTCATATTGAACTAAAATTAATTAACTTAAAAATTTAAAGTTCTTTTCGCATATTTTTCTTTATCTTTCATTGAATTTAACAAAAATTAACAAAATAGAGGTTTTACTTTGTTGCAATATTTGTTAGCCACCCTGTATAAAACTATTAATGGATCAAGTGTACTAATAAAGGTACACAAATGCATTATAAAAGAAATGTATAACAGATGCTGAATATCGCTATTTGATATATTATTAAAACAAGGTTATATGACGCAAAAAACTATTACTTTTAAAGCTTATGGCTGCCTTATAAACAAAAGAGACTATAATCATAGGTAGATATGGATATATCCTAGAAATGTATTTTGACCATCTCAGCAATTAATCAAAATAATTTTAGCACATTAGTTCTTGATTATAATTTAGATATTTAAGGTAATTGTCACTGCTGTTCTTTTAAAGTTTCTAGGGAACCGTTACAACCACACTGACATTCAATATCCATTTTATTCTTTGACAAACCAGCCACTATAAGATATGTGAATTTTTGATTTTCAATAACAAGAAGTCTTTCGATTTCTTAAATTAAATGTGTGCTAGATTTAATTATTTTGATTTTTTTCCCATGACTCTTCTCACCAAGATTTATTTCTACATGGAAGCTAATGTCAGAAAAAGTTCAGAATTAAAATATTTTGATGTCTTAATGAGTCCAATGCAACCATTTTCTTTACTACCGTGATGAGTCGCCACTGTAGTCAACATGTTCACTGTTTTTAATAAAATCTATATATATAATAATTTGTTCTAGATCAATAACCTTTTCTCAGTAGTGAACGTACCAAAATTGTAAGTGTAGATTATTTTTTGGCATTATAAAATAATTATTATTAAATAGATACAAAGTGCTCTTGCTCTATATGTGTATGTCAGATATGTTTGCTTCTTTTGCGCATTTGTCAGTTTTGGCATCAAAAATGCACTCAAAATTATATTTAAAATTGTGTACAAGGTTAAAGTCAACGGACATACCTTTTTTTGTATTTGTCTAAAACCGCAATCTCATTAGATAAAACATTTTTATGGGAAAAATTTATTTGACAGTACATATGTATCATCAAGAATAAACTACGACTGAAAGGTAAAAAAACCAAAAAGTAATGTAAGTGGTAAGTAATGACCACTATTTAAAAATTCAATACTGAATAGAGGAGTATTTTTATCTCATCCAATATAAAGGCACTATAGGTAATATAAACAATGAATAAATATCAAAATCAAATTTTAGGTAGTAATAGGTTAAGGTAGCAGCTTGGGCACCAAATTTACTTTAGCACAAATAAAGTCTCATTGTTACACGGTTAAGTTACTATCAGACCTAAAGAACTAACATAAAGACATTCATTTTACAAAGTGAGATTCCTCATATTCCTCATAGAAAGAAAATAACCTGACTAATCTGCATTAGAAGCTGATTAAAAATACTATATACATAAACACTGAACTGAACATTAAATTTTAAAGACGATGTATTTGAATGAATGATCCACAAATTTCTTCAAAGCGGATTTAAAGGTGAAAATACTATTGCCGGAGCTGAAAAGAAGACAACGAGGATGCTACACATTTCCTTTGTAATTGTTTAGTGTATACGTACAGTAGATAATAAGAATTTACTTATTAGAGGATCTTAGTCATCTGCAAACTCTGTTCTTAAAGCAGATCTTGCGCTTCATTGAAATTTCGAAATGTTTTTAAACATTCTAAATTTTTACACAAAAAAATATACCCAAGTGAATACCTAGTATCTAGTATCCACTTTTAAACCGTTTGAGTTTAATACGATAACATAACATAAATTCACAACTTAATGAGCTGAATTAATACATTTTAGAGTTCAAACTTCCAGCTATATGCTATGTTAACTGGAGCTTTGTCACTGTCACAGTCTTATAACCATATCATTAATCTGTATTAAAAAAGTTACCCCAGATTTAACAATTGAAAACGGCATTGTAATTACCAGTTAGAATATTTAATAATTACATACTTTGCATAGATGAAGTACTTGAAAAAGGACAATCCAATCCAGTGATGCACGGAAAGTGGTGCGATGTGATTTTCGTGTAAATCATAATAAAATCCAAACTCGTATAAATAATATGCGATATTAATAAGCAGAATTTAAGAGGCGTTCACATCGATACATTCGCTTGTGTCTTAATGAAGATAACTTAGAGTAGGTAGGGAAGTGCAAGAAAATTGCTAGCTAAAACACCACTTTAAACGAAGTTCAGAAATATGTCCGTTAAATTATTACTACATGCATTAATTGTAATATACATAAATTAGAAGTTAAAAGAAAGATCTGGAGATCTGATGATAGTAGACACCTATCAATGGAAATGTTATATTACATCATTATGTATGACTAACAATTTTCAAATAAATAAATTTATGCTTCATTCTTATTTATAACAAAGAATATTTAAATAAATGTAAATTATTTATTTATTAAGAATTATTAATTAATGATAGTTTTAAGTAAAGATTTATTTATACTCGGACTATCATTTAAAACGTATTTTAAATACAAATAACACAACCGCAAGTACAGAAATATATTTATAATCTGAGTCATAAAACTTCCAGAGAACTATACTATAGAATGAGTTCACAATTTTAACATCGATTATACTATCATAAATTGAGGATTATGTAGTAAAATTTTTATAATTATAATCGAAAAAATTGTGTGCATATGTAGATAAAATGTGCATTAAACATTCTGATATACATTAAGACTGAAAAGTTTTCGGAAATTCTCATTTAAAATTCGCGCGCTGTATATTTTTCGATATTTTAAGTTTATGTAGTTTGGCAGCACTGTCCTTAATTACTATGCCAAAAATGAGCGCGATCTGTCAGACAGTTCGTTTACGGCAGCTGTTGAAACCAGTTCCCCTCAGTAGTGCGTTGCGAAATGTCTTCGACGGTCGTACGACCGTCCTGAAAGGCTTTGTACCACTCATAAACTTGAGTTTTCGATAAAACTGATTCCCCATAAGCCTTTTGTAGCATTCGCAACGATTCTGCACACGAAATTTCGTTCGAAACACAAAATTTGATGCAAACTCTTTGTCCAATATTTTTTTCCATTGTTTTTTTCGCAACGCACTACTGAGGTGAACTGGTTTCAACAGCTGCCGTAAACGAACTGTCTGACAGATCG